GATCTGCTCTGACGACTTCCAAGTCTCCTGAATGGCTATTATGTCTGCTCCTTGCGCCATTAATGTTGCGAGTTTTGACGGCGTGAGGCAAGAAACGTTCATCTGGAGTACTGCTATGGGGCCTGGGTTCTGCTCAATGTCTCCGCTTAGCAGTAGCTTTTGTCGTTGCGCGTCACATACGGCACGCAAACGGTATGTATAGCGCTGATAAGCGCCGATGGAATTCAGCAGCGGATAGAAATACCGCTCCGCGGGCAGCCATGTAAATGGCTCCATCTGGTGCCCTTCCGACCCGTTTGTGCGGCGCCTCCTGCCTCTCCGCGGGCAGCGGATGGGCAGCAGGCGCTTAGCTTCCTCTCTAGCAAAGAGTACTAGACCCTGGCACCACGTTGAGGTGGCCGGCTGAGCCAGGGTCTTCTTATCTTCATATATGTTTATATTATCTTTTTTTTTGTATATGTGCGATTTTTCTGCCTCATCACTCTTTTTTTTTCTTTATTTTGGTGCTGCTTCCTTTTAGTGTATTTTGAGAGTTTCTCTTTTTTTTTTGTTTTTATTTTTATTTTTATTTGTTTATTTATTTTTATTTTTATTTTTTTTTTGGGTATATTTTAGTTTTTATCTGCGTGTTGTTTTAATTTATAATGAATTGGCGTTTTTTTTTCTTTTTTTTTTAATTTTATTTTATTTTTTTCCACAGGGATGGGGTTTGAGTTGGCTTTCTTTCAGGCAATAGATGAGAGCAGCCTTGTGTCGGCCTCACTTATATGCGTCATCTCGGAGCTTCTCGGTGCAACGTTTGTCAGTGTTTGCCTTGGCGTCCTGCTGCGGTTTGTGTTTCCCTGGTGGGAGGCACAAGTAAGAGTGCCGTTACGAAAATGGCCATTGCATGAGGGTGTTTCTCACGTGAGTGGTGCGCCCAAAAAGAAACTCTGCGCTGCCGTTGTGAATGATGTTTCACCACCGTGCCCGGTGCAATCGCCGCGTCGGATATCGTTGTATGCCACCGAGATTGCAGCGCCGCTGAAGGAACCCACATGTCCCGCCAAGGGGGGCGTGAAGGCAAAGGCACCTTCGAATGAAGGCATCTCACTTGATGATTTTATTGAGAAGTTCTTTTCGGAGGCGGAGCTGCTCGACGACGCCCTCTTAAGCGCGACATTGAGCGATGCAAAAACCGCCACAGGCGGAAGACGTGACCGTCGATGAGGCCGTTGGGAGTGGTACCATGCAGCGTTCTGTCCTGTTTTATTTTTGCATGGGATGCCGTCTCCGTGTAAGAGAAAACCGGCGTGTGTGTGTTTTTTTTTTTTTTGGGCGAGAGGGGGCAGCGACAAGGCGGAGTACAGACACATGTGCAGATATCACAAATGAATATGGGGACAACGATGCTAATGAGACGAACTCATTGATGGAGGGAATTTTATTTAAGAGGACATGCGCTTAAAGAACGGCAGCTTTTCTTTACGGTGCCGAGTGGTTCAATGTTTAATGTGCGTGTCCTGCGGGGGATGCACATGTTGTTTGTTTGGATGGGGCGTAGGTGGGTGGCAACAATGGTAAGAGAAGGAAGAGGCATACATTGGTGAGGAGTGGGTTGCGTGCACCGTCAGCCCACAGGAAGGATGCACGAAGGATAGTGGAGGGAGGAACGAAAAAAAAAAAAAAAAAAAAAAAAAGCTGCCGTTGCCTTCACTCAGTTTTATTTACCCTGCATTGGAAACACTTGTGAAATGTGCGTTGTTTCCTCACGCTGCTTGTGTGCGGAGAGGACACAGTGTGTCTTTGCCACCACCACCCCTACTTCCCCCCCCTCTCAGCAGGAAGGACGAGGCGAAAAGGAACAAACCGTGAAATTAATGGGAAGGAAAGAGGCTCGAAAATCCATAACGAGCACGATTAAGTGTGGAGCTGCTGTCTTTGCTTTTTTATTTTTATTCCATTGGAATGAGAAAAAAAAAGGAAAACAGGGACGATTACACATGGACGGGAATGTGGATCGCCTATTTCTGTGTGTATGTGTACGTGTGTGCGTGTGGTAGAGATGCGCCTTGGATCAGAATGTTTTGTGGAGAGAAAAAAGGAAGAAGAGGAATGAGAACAACGTTAATTTTAGCTGCCAACGTGAGCGTTGCATGATATACACACAGCTTATTTATTTATTTATTTATTATTATTATTATTATTTTTTTCTCTTTGAATTTTATTATGTGGCGGTAGAGAAATTACGCAAAGCACAGAAAAAGGAGGAAAGGCACGTGCCCGTTTCTTCCGTCGTTTGCTTTTTTTGAGCTATTTTCAGTGAGCTCAGAGTGAATGTGCAGATGTCGGCCTGTGAGCAGGCGTTTTTTACGCCATGTAATGTTTTTTATTGCGGCTGTTTTTTTTATTTGGATTTTGGTTGTTGATCTTATCGCTGTTCGTTTTCGGTACGATGACAGGGCGGTTGGTAGGCAACGTACGGCTGCTCGTCCCCGCGCGGACATGGAGGAGCTTGACACCTACTCTTCGATGTATTGTGTGGGACATCAATTTAACGACCCACGCCGTGCCGGTGTGGCCTCTTCTTTTCACCCGGACGGGCCAAGAAGTAGTGACGGCGGCGAAATGGATGCGGGGCGTGTGGATATCGTGTTGAATGGCGTGTTTTTGCCGGACAAGACACACAATGCGAGTTTGAAGGAGGATGATATGATGGGATCCGCCGATATTTATTACTACCCCATTTATAATCGCACATGCCTTTACAAATTTGTGTACTTTGACAAGAAGAGGAATAAATTTTTCTTTTATGTGCGGAACATATCGTCCTACCGTCGACTTCTGGCAAAGGGGAAGTTACGGCTACCACCGGTGTCGTTGGGTTCGAGACCGCTGGAGCTCCCCCGTAGTGGGCTAAACTCTTTTCGACGGAAATCGTACTGGGCCTTTGTTTATTCTCCAGTAGTTGTTTTGGGTCCGCGTCCCCGTGATGAGGCGAAGGGAGGGAAGCTGAGGCGACACGAAGAGGCCTCTGCGCCCTACCATAATACGTTGGTGGCGTACTTTCTTCCAACTGCGTCGCCGTGGAATTTTGCTCACACTCTTCTATGTGATCTGTTTGGTTTTTTTTGGGGTTCCATGGAAATTCAGCGAGCATTTGCGCATATATTCCCCTCTGAGATGAAGTTTCTCTCAGAGGCTCTACCAGACGTGCAGCTTATCGTCACTTCTTTCAGGTACTTTTCAAAAGATAAGCTTCCAAATTCCAATAAGGCGTTTGCATTTTTTTCTCGTCGACCGGCTATATATGACGTGGCACTGCCTTCGGGTGTGTACCGTGGACTTCTCGCGGGCACAGGAACAAAAAGTTGGAGTTGGGTAACACCGTCATATTCGGCCAGTGGATCTCCTTCACTGTGGTACTCTTTTCGAGACTACATTATACGCCACACTGGGGCGGAGCAGCGTCCTTACCGAAGAAATTATTCATCGCCTAATTCACTGCGTCCGCCGCGTGTATCCATATGCCATAAAGAAGATAAACGTGGCATTGTAAATGAGAAGGAACTTCTTCGGTCTCTCCGGGAAAGGTTTGGTAGGGCGGAGTTTTTTCTGGAGACTATTGTGGGCCGCGGTGCGAAGGAACAAGTGGAGATGATGTTGGCGACGGATATTTTTGTTTGTAATGAGGGTACATTGGCAACCGTCTTTTTTTTAATGAACCCCGGATCCGTGTTTGTGGCGATTCCTCTTGTGTACCATTCGCCACACCTTCACCAACGAAACATGTCACATCCGGACACATGGTGGTTACGTCCAGATCTTATTCGTGTTGATCCACGATTCAACACTGGTGGAAATATCGACTGGTTTCCTCCGGCCATTTCATGGGTGCGCGTCACGTGGTATAATGAGATTCCACTTTCCGAGGCATCGATTCAGAAACCTTTGCATGGTCTGCGAAACTACATGCCCGAATACAATGTTCGTATCCATTTGGGGCGTTTTGCATCTTTAATGGAGCGGGCCATTGCATTTTTAAGAGGCCGAGGTACGTTGTGGAATGTAAATTCTTCTTTAACTTTGTTTAAGCAAAGTTTGAGGTTTAGCAAGTTTGTTCATGACGGGAATACCACATCTTTTGGTTCTTTCGAGGAGAGGCACCAATACCGTTTTGTTTCTTTGGTGCCTAAAAACTTTACAAACGTCATAAATAACATTTCTCTTCGTCGTATTTTTTACCTGCATGAGACTCCTGTTGAAATTCATCGCTTTCGCGGCCGAACTCATAGACCACCGAATTACTCCATTACGGCCGATCAATGCCGTCGTTTGATACATCTACGTCCTGAACTTTCGACAAGTTTTAACACGGCCATTTGCCGTTACGGTATGAGTGGTTTGTGCGAGTTGTTTGCTAATGGACGCTACCCGCAACGTTCTCTTCACGATAAGTGGCGATTAAGCGGAGGACGGTGTGGTGGTGAGGAGAGTTGGCCGGTGTATTGGAGGCGGCGACCAGAGTCGTTGCACACGGCTGTTCGTACGCGTACGGCGGATGGCTCTGAAGCTTCATTTGACCTTAATGAGGTGACGGATTATTTTTTCGATGTGCGGGAGGAGCGGAATCTTTCACATTATCTTTATTTTTCCAAGGCGCATCTGCTCGAGAGTTACCGCGTAGCAGAATTTGGACTGCACTTGAAGGCCGAGAAGGATATTGTGAAGAGGCTGTTCGGTTAGCCCACATGAACGATATACATGTATATATGTATGCACCCTTGTGATGGTGATGTGGAAGAGTGGTGTGGGCAAAAGGGGAAATCAAACTTCTTTTTTTTTTTTTTTTCTCCTGGACTTTGTTTTCATTTCTTTTTCTTTTTCTTCTTTCTCTTTCTCTCTCTCTCTGTGTGTGTGTGTGTGTGTTCAGGGTAGTAGTCTGGTTGATTCAGTCGTTTTTTTTTTTGTTGGGGTGTGTGTGGGTTCCCACGTGTGAAGGGGGACAAATCGAGGTGGACATGCAGGGCGATTTCCGCCAACATCTGCGGCACGCGCGGTTTTCTTTCGGCAACACGCCCGTGACGAGAGAGATGACGGAAAATGGGGGCGTGGTTCTTCAAAATGCGAATGTGGACTCCAGTGGACCCTGCCATGGGCCGCCACGGGAGCAGCCACCGCCGCCACTGCCACCGCCGTCGCAAACGAACGGAGGGAAAACGAAGGCATTTCTCGCGTTGTTTTCTCGGCATCATGATTTCAACACACGAGGATGCAAAAGTGAGCATCACCGGCTGATAAATGAGGACTTTTTTACAGATCCGATCCGGAAACTGCTGCGTGACGGTAACTTTCCGTTTAAATTAGTCGTGAATTGTCTTATGCTTCTATTTCTTATTTTGATTGCTGTTATGTTTCACGCGCCGGAGAATATTGCGAACGAAGAGCAGCGCAAAGCCGTGCTTCATTCTTTTGTAGGAAACGACTATATTGGGAAGGACAAGGGGAATATTAAGTTTCGACCAACGGTGTATTTACACAAACGTGAAGACGTGTTGAAAGATATTAAGAAGTTTGTCAAGGTGTACTACGCTCTGGCAAACATCTCCGTGAGTGAGTTACACTATTACTATTATGTAGTGTCAGAGGATGGAGCTGCGGCTCTGCGGCGGCTGATGGAAAGTGAGACACCAGAAGGTTCGGATTGCTTTGAGGCTATCGTACATGGGAACGTCCACGATCTTGATGATGCAGGTGATTTAGTGAATCTTATGTGTGTGTTGCCGGTATCCATGGAGGTGGATGCGTATCTTTACTCGCAGCGGGAGTACAGAGGCCCCTCACCACTGCGACACTTTTCGGTTCAATTGACAGAGAAGGATCCCCTGGGCCCTTTTTCCGATGACAGGGAGGAAAGCTCAACTGACAACCGTGATCATAGGGCTGCTCACTCGGATAGGGATAAATACGTGGAGTCGGTGTGTGCTCCTCGATATGATGAAATCACTGGTCTGTACTATCGCCCGTGCCGTGAAGACCCTGATGCGAGTGAAAATGGTACCAGTCATGGCACGGATGGCGAGAATGACGGCTTTTTTTTCCCGTTGATGGACAATGTTTATAGGATTCGATTAAGGGCATCGATTCGGCATTTGACCGATACTTTTTTTAATCGTCAGGAGGCAACCAGCGGGTTCGAGACCGTTATTTATCACTGGGTCATTGAAAAGGTATTTTCCTTTCACGCCGGAGGCCTCGTGGAGGTGGAGTTTATGATTTCAGTGAACACGAGACGTATCTCCCTATTTGCGCATCCACGATTCTTTTTTTCCGTGGCGTTACTACTACTTGCGGTGTTTGACATTGTTTTGAGGTATCGTGCACTGAGGCGTATAGCGACTTCTCGGAAACGCGTTGCGGTGCCGCAACCAACTTTACGGGAAGAGGATTCCTTGGTACCTCTTCCACAGGAAAGAAGTAGTGAGTTTTCCACGCATGCTGTGGCATATTCAACAGGCTCGGATGCTTCACTGGGGGCACAGGGCGACTCCACGAATTCCCATGCATCGCCCATTCTTTATAGGCGTTCTCCGCGGTCAAGAAAGCCGGTTACAAGGAAAGTAAAACACGTGCCGAGAGCTGGGTCTTTGGTGCCGGAGACTGTTTACACGGATTTCTACGATGCCTGGCGGGAACATTTACAAATCTCAAGGGGGGAATCTTGGCATTATATTGCAATTGTTGCCGATACGCTTGCAGTGGCGTACGTTTTTACGACATCTGTGAGACTCTGGGGCATGTCTACTCCGGAGTTTTGCGACACGTTGGAGAGTATCTTTTTGGGTTTAACGGGGTTACTTCTTTCAGTAAATCTTCTCTCGTATATTCGTTACTTCCCACAGATGTACTTTGCGGTACGTGCGATGCGGCGTGTTGTTCCGAGGTTACTTGGCTTTGCAATGAGTGTTGCGCCTATCTTTTTTGGATTTGCTCTTTTCTTTTGTATTGTTTTTGGGCCTCATTCCAATGGGGAGTTTTCCGACATGGGTTTCTCTCTCGTGGCACTTTATTTTGTGATGTTTGGTGACGCCATCCTCCCCGCCATTGAGGATGCTGAGGGGTCTGTGTATCTGATTGTGACCGTTTTGGCGAACTTCATGACGATTTTATTTATTCTTTTTTTCATGATGACAATGCTGAATCTTGCCATGTCTATAACGCAGCATGAGTGGGGCCTACTACGACGACGTTTTGGGTCATGTCTTAGCGCTAATAATCTTTTGTTTGAGGTGCGTACCCGCGATGAGGTGAAGGCAGAGGCAATGGAGGTTGTCATTGCCAACATGGAGCTTATACTACACATCAAAAGCGAGGAAAGGCTGACCGCGGATGCAGCGCATGAACGTCATGGAGAAGACAACGGCAGTAACGGATGTGCCAGTGATACCGTGGAGGGTTTGTCAAGATCTCCGCGGGATTTGCAAAGAGGGGACGTAGCGGATATGTACCGACGGCGTTTAGATGAGCTTACGGAGGGAATAGTAAATGAGGATGAGTGAATACAAAGTTGAATGCACGTAATTTTATTGGCTTCCTTTGCTTATCGCTTTATAGAAACAAATTACAGTCTAGAGTGGAGACACCACAGCAGAGAGAGGGGAGGAAAATAAAAGGGTAAAATGACTTATTCTTACCAATGTGTTTTTTATGTTTTCCTACTTTTTTTTTTTTTCTCTTCTCTTTCTGTTACCTGCTGTTTGTTTCTTTTTCAAGGTTTGTTACACGTTTGCTTTTCGAGGGGAGGACCGGTTGCAATGCCTTGTTATATCGTTTGCAATGACTACGTTTTTTTTAGCACAATTCCGGGCTTCTTTTTTTTTTTTTTTTTTGTTTCTATGCATGTTTACTTGCATGTATGTATGTGTGTGTGTTTTTTTTTTCCTTTTTTTTTTTTGGTTTAATTTTTGAGGAGTGTTGTATTTGTTGCTTTTTTGGCGGCTCTGCTGTTTCTCTCTCGTTCTTGCTTTCTATTATTATTATTATCGTTAAATTTACATGAAACTAATGATTAAGGCGTTGGCGACGTGAAAAAGGGATCCATGCGGTGTGAAACGTGTGATTTACGTTCAGCCGTTTGCCTGGGAAGTGGTGGTGCCCACGCGTCTGTCAAGCCTGTACGTTTTTGTTATGTCTGTGGGGCATTACTAAGTCCTTCCGTGTGTGAGGAGAAGGCATCGCTGCCGACTGCTGAAGGGAATTTGGTTCATGAAACGACGGTGCCCACCGCGAGGGAGTCCGTCTCTTTTAAGGAGATTCAGGCTCTGCTACGAAAACGCCTGCTTGCACGGGGGGATTCTTTTCTCATAAGTTGCGCGCCGTTTACATCGACGCACCTGGAGCGTTATTCACCCAATATGACATTGACACCGCCGCCGCCGTCAAATTGTCAGGGGCCACCCGAGTTGGTTGCATGGACGACACATTCTTTTTGCGACGAGGATGCCTCAGGGGCCTCCGACTCTCCGTTGCTTTTTGCGCGTCTCACAAGAGTGGAGGAGGCACTTTCAGAGGTGGTTCTGGAGTTTAACACCCGGCTTGCGCTGCTGCAAACGAATTCTTTGCGTGACGTAAACTCCTGGAGACAACAGACATCTGAATTAAAGGCAGAGCTTTGTCAGCGGAAAGTTGAGGTGATGACCCTGAAGAAGCGCGTGGAGGCGTTGGAGTCTAAACTGTGTAAGCGGGACACGGCACACGACGAGGAGGCGATGGAAGAAGAAAGGAATCGTGAAGAGGAGCGGTGTTGGCGCTTAAGACTGGAGGAGAAGGGACAAGAGAGTTTGACTGCTGCCTATCATTTGTTGTGTGACACACTTGCCATAACGCATGAAGGCTCACGCATTGATGAGACTGGGCGTAATGTTTGGTCTTGTGGGGAATAGAGCGATTCATCTTACTCTCTTTTTTTTTTTTTTTATACATGACATATACACGAAAGAAAGTACAATATTTTAAAATACGTGTCTTTCTATAAACTGTTTTTTTTTTTTTTTTTTTTTTTGCTCTTCTTGAGTTCCGATGTACATGTTTCTGAGTTTTTTTTCCCCCCTCTTCACTTCCCTTTCTTCCCGCGTCTCATTCTGTCATTAGAGAAGGTGCGTGAAGGAAATCACCGGACCCTAAACTGAAGGAAGGGCTGGGGCGGGGGGACAGAAAACAAAACAAACAAACAAACAGGGAAGCGAGGAGGATGGCAGCTGAGAGAGGTCGATACATCGAATACGTCAAGTCGTCGTGGCGCTGTGGACTGTCAGACCGCCTGGAGTTATACGATGCGGAACTGGCGTACCGCATGCAGCCGCTGAAACCTCATACCAACGTGATGGCGTACATGAATGAAATGCAACCGCTGCAGGCACCTCGGCGCCTCTCCATTTTTGAATCTTTGAATTTGATGAAGGCGGGTAGTCACTTGGGCACACGCATTCAAGAGAAGCCAAAAGGTGAGGCGATCCAACGCTTGCCAGATGCTTTCCCGTTGACATGCAGTGAGTCACGCACATGCTCCCTTGCTGTTGGTGTTGAAGTCTTTGGGCACGACGCTGGCATTAACTCACTGGTTTTGGATGAAACGGAGGGGCTGCTGCTGTCTGCTTCTGATGATTGTACCCTCTCTCTTTACAATACAACCGAATGGAAGTTACTGCGGTCGTGCCGTACAATGCATCGTGCTGCAATTATGTATGCTGCTTTTCTTGCGGGTGATACGAGACGCGTAATTTCATGCGGTTTGGATGGTCGAACCCTACTGACCGATCTGGAAACGGGGCATCCCTATCACAAGTGCCGAATGTTTTCCAAGGCAACCTCTTTGGTAACTTCTCCATGGTGGCCAGATGTGGCATATGTTGCATATACTCACGGAGTCATTGCTCGTGTTGACACCCGTGAGCGCTATTCGATGAATGAGTTTCCATTTACTGTAAGTCCACGGGAAGGCGAGGTAATACATGTTAACACGCTGGTGTCACATGAGCGATGGCCCTTTCTTATTGCATCTGGGACCAATACAGCGAATATTTATTTACATGACATTCGTATGAATCTTTACAGAGCGTATGCTTTGTTAACGATTCCAAATTTGTCTAATAAAACCCGCAGTATTGGCGGGCTTGCTTTTAGTGATCGCGGTGATTGGATGGCGGTAAATTATTATCGTGAGGACGTCTATACCTTTTCATGGTTGGATGCCCTTTACTCCAGCAGCATACCAGGAGAAGGGAACGATGAATATTTGGAATTGGATAACTTCTCTATGCTTTTTCATATTGGAAGACGGCATGTGCCTTCTATACCCATTCAAAACGCTGTTCGTCTGCATGGGCGAGAGAATGTGAGGTCGCATTTTAAAAATGTCACCTTCATGGAGGATGACAGTATTGTTTGCACCGGTGGCGATGATGGAAGTGTATACTTTTGGCGCAGGGATGATGGAACACAGCTCCATTTCACACCCGGTGATTCACAGGAGGTCCGCGTCGTTCGATATTGCCATAGCGCTGGGAAACTGGTGAGTGCCGGGGCAGATGCCAGCGTCAAAGTTCTGGAGCCAAGCAGATCAGTGAGTGCTGGGGTGCAGAGGGCACGGGCGCTCTGCATACCGCCTTCTTTCCAAGAGTCATCATCAAACAGAATTGCACCGGAGACAATGAGGACGGGAATTGGTGCAGAGACTTCACTACTTCCAACCCTGGACATAAACACATCCAGCTATGAGCCGGAGGCGGATATTCATTTCAGCTCTACTTCCTCTTTATTATCATCATCATTGGATCATGCGAGCTTGCTGCACGAGGAAGAGAATGAGTTATCCCTAGATGAGGATTCCATGAACAAATCATTTATCCGTTATGCCCGGCGGAAAATTCCCGGGCGTTCCACTCTCACGCAATTTAATACCGTGCTCAACCTACAGGAGAATGCCCCATTGGCTGACCTTATTTTGGCTACGAAGAAGATTAAAGACGCATCCGAGTTGGTTGAAAATGCACTCTCACAACTCTTCTGCGAGGACGAAGAGTCGCTTTACCTGTTGTCTAGGCCATTCCTGTTTGAACTTGACTCTCTGGAAGATTTAAATATAGGCGGAGAGAGTGAAACACCGTTTTTTCACGAGGAAGACGCCAGTGATAGGGTGAAAAGGAATAAGGAAAATACAACTCGTGGTGAGGACGATGTTGACATCCAATTTACACAAAATACTGTGATGAATCAGGCCATCCATAGCGAGTTATGTAAAAAGATGTTTGTGGCGGTTGAAAAGCTGCTGGCTTATGTTCGTTGTGCCTTTTCTCAGTGGACCGTGCCGAAGGTTGGGGCGGCGCAAATACCACACTGGAGCGCTTGTACTTGGGGGATTGCTACCCTTGTGCCAACGCCGTTGGATGATGACTGGCTGATGAATACCCTGAACAAACCTATTGGTTCGCCGTTCGGTGTTCGGGAAAGAGACAATCAGATGAATTGGCAGGATGCAAATCATGTATTCTCTACGGTTGGCTCCGTGGATGTAGCAGCTAGTATGGGACGATTGCGCGTCAGGTGTCTCTTGTACATGATGGATATTGTTCTGCAGAAGAACCGGTTTCTCTTGCATACGATAGAAGATGTTCAGAGTTACTGGCAGTTTTGCGCGGGACTGGAGTTGAATTATGTATATTACTACATGGCGCTTGGAGACAGGGAAAGCGCACTGGACAGGGTGGCTGGATTGGAGCGGCACGCCGAGTACCGTTGCGTCACTGAGCTTGGGGCAGTGGGCAGCGCATGCATGGAGAAACAGCGCTCTTGTTGTGAATTACCAATGATAATCAGGATGCTGCGGGTGCTGGATGCTGACGCATTTCCCCCTTTACTCATCCCACTGGCGCTTCGTATTCGTATTTTGGTTCTTTCTTCTAACACAGGGTGCGCTGTTATTGCCCCCATTGTTGATCATGTTGCTGGTGATGACGCTGTGACCACATCTTCCTCTGCGGGTGGCTCAGGTGAGGAACGGGAAGAGGATGACGAGTGGCAGAATGAGGGCCGTGGAGGCGCTGAGGTGCTCGATGAAAACACACGGCGTATCTCCGTATTAACCCGAGAAATGCGGAATCGTCTTTGCGGTCATTCGAATGTTGTTTTGAGAGAACAAGTCAGGAGGATGCTTCGTCAGATCCGTGTTTGCGTTTGACGCCGATGCTTTTTTTTGCGGCATTCTTTTTTTTTTTTTTCTTTCTTTGTCCGAGTTTTTGCTTGCTATTGAACATATATATATATATATATATATATAAAGAAAAAAAAAACACAAAGAAGAAGGGTCTTGTGTATTGGGAATAGGGGGTTAGGATTTAAAGTGGAAAAAACAACAACAAAAGGGATGAATATGTCACTTTGGAGACAAGGTTTTTTTTTGTGCAGAAGTTGGCAACGAATAAATATTTTTTTTTTTTTTTTTGTTTGCTACTTCTTTGGATGTTTTTTTTTTTTTTTTCGCCTCTCATCCTTTTATTATTATTATTACCTCCTTCCTGCCTCTGGCCTGTTGTGCCGGGTGATGTCATGTGCTGATGGATTGGCGAATTAATTTCTTTGACCTTTTCCTTGTGCCTCTCTATGCATGTGTGCATGGTTTCTTTTGTTGATTGCTGTGGGCGCACTGTTTTTTGTATGTCTCCAAATTCTTGGCTCTTTTCATTGATAAAGGATGGTCAGACCAGGGCGTGGGCGGCGAGAATTGCGGGAGAGGGAAAGTGGGAAAAAACGCTTCCTACAGGTAAGAAAAAAGTGGTGAATAACCTTTCAGGCATGAAGGCTGTAGGGCTCCGTTGGAGGCCTCGTAATTCAGCAAAACAGAGTGCCAAGGGACAAAATGATACTCCGGTGACTGTTGTATTCCGGGCACACACGGACTCTGTTGCCAAGGTACCGTTTCTTTACTCTCCAAAGAACTACAACCGTCCGATGCCTACTGAAGAGGAGGGATTTACAGAGGCCATTATTGAGCTTTGTGTTCCAAGCGGCATGAATATAATTAGCAGCTCCACTGCTGATGGTGCTGGCGGTGGTGAATGCAGCGGCAACAAGAACGAGAGCAAGATCGGGAGCACGAATCCTGGCAGTTGGCAACGTCATTCTGGCATGGGCGGATGCGCTTTGTCGCCAGGGGCCGCGGCGATTTCGCCCAGTTTGATGGAAATGGGGCATCGTGGGGCTGCTTCGCCTGCATCAGAGGGAGCGGGTCTCATGGGCGCTGCGCGCCCGGCAATTTTTACCGGCGACGCCGTGCCTAATTCGGACGCATTGCGACGAAGACGACAACAACAACAACAAGAGCAGCAGCAAAAGCACACAGATCCTTGCACGTCATCGGCTGGCGTGGGTTTTTTCAAATGTGATAGTTGGGTTTGCCGAGCGTATTGCTTTGGTGAAAAGGATGCGATTTACGCGAATGGCGCAATCAGCGTTCATCAGTCGTTGGCGAACAAGAGTCAGTTTATCAACAACATCGCGAAGGGGAAGGCACTGGCGCGTGTGGTGCCAACATATGATGAGGTGCGGGAACGGTTTGGTTTGTCACATTTAGAGTTATCCTTTGAGAATCAGTTTGTAACACGTGCCGACATGTTTTTAATATCGGAGGCACTGCGTGATCGCATTCTGTACGAGGGCGAGGAAGTGACCTTGTGTGGGTTCACAATGAAGGTGAATGAGATGCTTCGCACCTTGCAGCCGGTGGCAGCAGCTGAGAGCGCGGCCGGTGGGGCTTTGCAGCAGGGCGATGGCGTCAAGACCAACAACACGGCAGCGTTGGATGTCGATGGCGAACACAGGGGGGCGGCGGAAACCTCTTGGACGTCATTGAAGACGTCCGGATCACAACGTGTCCCGGTGCAACCACACTTCTCCCACCCTTCGCTGACGTTGCCGTCTCCGCAACACCAGCAGGATGGAAAGGAAGAGAGTCGATATCGTCGCGTGCAAAGTGGTCTTGTGACAAAGGAGACCCTAGTGAATTTTCGTTCCCTTTCTCCTGTGCACTACATCCTTATTGAGATCTCCAAGGAAATGTGGAATCCCACCGTGGATGGGCGTATTACGTTGTGCTGGGTCATGAAGAACTTTCTTCGGGAGTATTTAATGCACCAGGTACATAAACACAAGGCTTCTCCCCTTATTCACATTCTGATGGTGGGCCGGTTGTATCCAAAGTATGCCATCAACGGGAATGTGGACGTTCTTCACGTGATGAAAATCCCACACGATTATCGGTCCACATCTCTTGTTGAGGAGGTGGAGCTTCAGTGTGAGGAGTTTCTGCGTCGTGTTCTACAAGAAGTTAAGAAAACATTTAAAAAGGAAACGGCACCAGTTTCAACCGAAGCGACAGGGGAAACAACATGTACCCCTGGTGAAGAGGTGCCTTTCGTTTCTCAGGCAGATGTGGCAGATACACTGACTGAGCAGAGTCTTTTTGTTCACGCCAAAAATACGTGCACGGTGGAGACGATAAATCTTGTGCTCGAAGAGTGCATTCAGAGCCGATGGGACACCAACACGGGTTATATTATTAGTATCGTAACTGCTGGAAAGGGACTTTATCAAGTGACCAATGAATTGTCACAAACAACCTGTACACGACTTTTTAGCATTGGGATTGAGAAAATCAACATTATTTGTATGGGCCGTCCACCACTTCACATTACACCGCTTTTTGAATACTTCTCGGAGGATGAAACGCTTCGGTCACAATATCATTTGCATGTGGGTCAAAGCAGCCAACGTTTTTACGAGCGACCGGAATGGGCTCGGTGCCTCTTTTACCACCCCGCGGTGGACGCCACTTCGTGTGGTCTCTTGGCTTTTGACCTTCTGACAAGAGAGGAGTGGATGCAGCGACATCGTGCGGTGCCGGGGAGCAAATCTCAGTTTGTTCCAGGCCTTGGACTGCCAATGGCACCGGTGGGCGAGGTGTTGTTGCCGGTGATGGAGACGCGGAGGAAAGAACAGGTTCTCTCCAATTCAGTGAGGGTGGCCGATGCAGATTCACTTGTGTCTCCAATGCCTTCTTCCGCACTGTCAGCTGTTCCAGAGGTCAGTGGGACACAATTTTACCCGACACTCTTTCGACACTCTTCTGAAGTGCGGGCGAAGGCGCAACCGCCTCTGCGTCTTACTGGGACACGCAATAAGCATGAAGGCATCACGAGAGGCGAGAGATTTGGTATGCCTGGGAGAACCTCCGGTACAACACAACCAGATGGCGATGCCAAGTCAAGCCCTACACCCGGGCATAGTCGTCCAGTTGTTTTTGCCAGCTGGTACTGTCACCGTGGTTGCGCAGTTAGTTCTCAACAAACATTCAGTCGTGAATACCTTTATGATTTTATCATCCACCAATCTCATGAGCATCCTGGGGATGGACACACAAGAAATGTGGCCATGGAGCCAGAGGCCAACGGTATAGTTTCATGCGGGTTGAACATTTTAGACAGCGATCTTCAGAGCGGATACGTGTTTCTCAGACTACGCATTGATTCCTCTGCTCTTCCGGAGGCTTGTTGGTCGCCGAAGATTTTAACTGACGTAGATATGTGGGCACTCCTGATGGGCGCCTTTTCGGGCGAGGATAATCGCCTCTCAGAGGAGGAGAAGAAACATTTTGTATCCCACTTTCGAGCGATGGATATTTTTTGCCGCACGTTTTCCGCCATTCTGGAAGATGGGCTCACGTTGATCTTGGCATCGCATAGTAGCAAATTGACATTCTCAACCCCTGAGGAAATTGTCTTTACATTTCGCCAGCCGTTGATTGTGGCCTCCAGTGAAGTCACACCGTTTTCCACAACCATCGCACATCTCCAGATACGGAACAGCATTTTATTTGCAATAAAACCCATAAGTCCATACCGCCCAACGACGGAGAGCGAGGTTGCATCTTCGGCCTCCCGCAATATCACTGCCGATGTGATACTGCGTCGACGTTGGCAGTTTGCCTATCCCGAGTTACCTTCTTCTGGGGCGCAGAAATCACCATGGGCAACGTTATGTCATTGCAAAATTCTACCAATTTATGGAACGAAGTCACCCTACCAGCGCGACTGCTTTTTTGGTGTTCCCACTCATCAATATGCCGTCTCTATTCGGGACAGTATGCAGTTGCTGGAATACGTGCTACAACGACTTCAACAACAATATCAGATTGTTGTAGTTGGCTCATCTCCAGCAGGGATCCAATGGCCTCGGGAAGAGCCTACACGGAATGCCCGAGTAGAATTGTCAATTGGTCATCAGATTCATGAGTTAAAAATAGGTGAAGCGGGACAAAGCATATCTGTTACTCGCATATTGCATGGCGGCATGTACAGTAACGCCTCTGTGACCCACATTTTCTCCCATTCTTACCTCCTTTTGAACTATCTGAAACCTGGCTTTGATTTACGCACGGTGCATTTGGAGACGCAGATTGGTGAGAAGCTTGCTTTCCAATGGGAAAGTCTTGATTCTTACCTTCGCGATCGCCATCGCACTAATATTTTTATTCCACGTGGTCCGGACTTGTCGCTGCGTGAGGGCAAACTTTGCGTTGCCTTGCTACCAGAAGCGTTTGAAGCCCCACCTGTTTCATATGCGGAGTTTTCCGCATTTATCAACCACCGTTTCTCCGTACACTTCAAAATGACGGATGCTGCGGAGTCCGAGGAAGAGAAAGTAGGAATGACGACCAATTTTCCAGAAACGCTCAACGGGCCAGATGGCTTTACTGCACGCACCGTTACGCTCATCCACGACAACCCACTGACGCTCGAGCCGTATTGTCTGATGGATCACAAAACGGGAAGAACGCTTTGCCTGGAAGCACCAACGAGAAACCGCATGCTCTCCATGGAGGTGTCAATACCGGCTACCTATAGCCCTAACTGTCACTGTTTATTGGAGATTTCGTGGTTGGTTTGCATCACGCCGATAATTGCAGATTGGATCCGTTCGATTTTTGCAGGGGCTGCGCGCTTCCGTCTGCGCGCTGTGCCTCTTCCATGCTTTTCTCCGTCTACTAAAAGCGGATTTTTTGCGGTTAGTTACACAGTTCGAGCCCGAAAAGAAGAGGAGGAACCACTTTTTCGCTCTCGTTTGCTTAGCCTCCTAACGAATAGCACTTATCGGTATTTTCCAGATGTCACAGTCATGAGTCGCATTTGCCGACTGTTGCATTTTAGTGGCTTGTGCTACGTGACGTTGCACTGGGGTGGAACCGCGTTGGCAAGATGGTTTGAAAACTCGATGCTGCGTACTGGGCAGCCGGAGCACCAGCAGTTACTGCGTGAATTTACAGAAGCGGTACAAATCGTGCGTGATGAGATTGAAGCCTCCTAAATGGCAAGAAAGAGGCAGAGATAAATGAAGGGTAAAAGGGAAACGGATTATCTTGCGCAATGCCACCACGCGAGAAGAACTGACCCACTTGCCAAAAAGTATGCCCGCGTGTTCACGTGAGCAACTCCTTAAATGGCTGTTGCGTGCCTTTTTCTCTTCTTTCTCACAGGCACCTTTTACTTTTCATTTCATTTTCCAAGGCAGTAAAAGACGAAAAAAAAAAAAAAAGAAAATTTGAGAAATTTTCCATCAAGGTTTTATTAAGGCTTGGCGGGCGATGTAAGGAGGCGGAGAGGTGGTCGATGCATTGTTTAAATTCTCCGTAAGAAGTGGGTGGTGGATGTGACAGCGGACGGGAGTTATGTTCTGGCTGTTTGCGCCAAGTATCTTCTACTTATGCGGACGGTGTACACGGATGAGACGAGCTCCGAGAAAAATGGGTTTGTATCGCGAATGGGCAAAAAGAAACCGAATCCGCTGAGGCTTCAGCCAACGCCTCAGCAGATTGAGGCTGTTGGGGGAATTGACGAGCTGAACTTTATTTCTGGCGGATTTGACCGCTTCGAGGATGGCCGTGAGACTTGCATCACAGCGTGCGGCGGGAAGTATGTGCTCACGTGGAGCTTTGAGGCGGCGAAACGGGCTGTGGAGGATGGTCACGCGTGCATTGGAGAGACCGCATTAGTTAAGCGCGAGGTCCTTGCTGTCTCTGCGACGGTGCCGGAACGAGTGATGTACATGACGGATCAGGACATCCGCATGGCGCCACTGAGGCGGCAGGAGCGGCAGGAAAAGGGCACAAAGCAGTACAACTACTTGTGAGGCAGCTTCCCTTTCTTTGTGCGTTTGCCAATGCCTTGGAGCACGCCTCCATATTTTCTTTGTTGCAGGTGGATCTTGTGGCACGCGTCTGGGGAAAGGACCAGCAACATCCCCACCTCACGGGCATCTTGCGGTGGTCAGTCTTTGTTTCGTATGTGTTTGTCCTATGGTGGGTGTGTGTCTTGTTTGTTTGAGGCGTCAGTCGGGGGACTACGTTTTTTTCCTGACTCACTCGTGCTCTCTCCTTGTTGTTTTTTTGGGAGGGGGCAGAAGCCCGCGAACAGTCCTTGCGTGGATGTGGAGTACGGAATTAGACTGTTTTTTTAATGGCTGCAGGCATGATGGTTATTCCGTTTGCCGCTGCTTGGTGTTTATATGTTTTTTTCTTTTTTTTGTGTTTGCAAATATCTTTTTTTCTTTTTTTTTCTGTTTTGTATTTGATGTGGGCTTGGCCAATAGGATGTGTTTGGCGCCCCGAAGTCTTATTTTCTGCAACGCTGAGAGGAATGTATGACTACTGGGCATGGCTTAGAGGTGCACAGAGGAGGGATAATCGCCGTGTGTGTGTGTGTGTGGCATTTTAAGCTGATTTTGCTAATATGGGTATTTTTTGTTTTTGCTGATTTTGCTCCTTGGATTTCTTAGGGGGTGTATTGTTTTCACTGCTTTGCTGGAAGGTTGATATGCGGTTTGTGTTGCATGGCGATATGTGAGAGGGTGCTTGACTGTGGTTGTGCGTTTGCTCTCCTTTTGCACACCTCCGATATATTTTTCCTTTGTTACCGCAACAGGGGTGTGAATGTGTGTGTCTTGCCTGGGGATGGCGGTTTTTTTTTTTTTTTTTTTTTTTTTGACTTCTGCCTTTATTGCTGTCTTTTCTTTTCTTTTTTATTTATTTATTTTTTACTTTTCTTGCATGGGTGGGGCGGGGGATCGTTCGCGGTGGGTAAGCGGCACACGCATTAGCAGATTGTTATTTCTTATTTTAATTTATTTATTAGAAAGAAAGTGAAAAAAAAAAAAAAAAGAAGGAAACAGGATTTAAAAGGGTATTTAGAGCGCTGTGTTGAAAGAAAACAACAACATCAACAAAAAAGGAAGGAAAGGAAGAAACATCACAAAATCGGTTGTTTTTGGGACGAGATGCTTCGACGAGGGTTTGCTGCTATGAAACAGAGCTCCGCCACCATCCTCTTTACAGGCCGTGGGACTTTGTACTTTTTGCACAAGGATGTTTATGAGCTACTCGGTGGCAAGGAAAGTGTGGGTCAGTACACTATATGCATTGATGCCGATGAAGAAGAGAATGAAGCGCATTCTTGCCTTTATTCTATCATTTTGTACGAATATGAGGAAGAAGTGCTACGCCAGCCCATTGGAAACGGGCTCACCCTCGCCTACTCCGAAATTTCTGTGCACTGGTCTGCTTTCATCGACGGTAAATTACAGCCTATAGCATTTTTGTTTGTGGACCAGGAGCCCAAGGTGAAGGCTGCTGTGCTTTTAGAACATTTTGTGTGTATTTACAATCGATGTACATACGCCCTCATGACCGGAACTTCTGTGGAAAGGACCAATCCAGAAGATGAGAGCTATGAATACTTGTCGGCCATTGCATCGTCGCGGTTGCCAGGGGACACGTTTGAGGAGCCCATGTATGAGCTGGATGTGTCTCATGAATGGGCAAACGCCACTGGCAGGGGCAATGTGTGTTGCGCAGAATCAAAACGGTTTGATCGGGCACTAGTGGTGCGTAGAGAGCGGAACGCGGTTGAATTTCAGGCGCATGCCTTTGGCGCAGATGGATTCGAAAGCAGGGATCCGGAAAGGTTCCAGCTTGGGGAGGTTTCCACATACGACAGTGCATTACTGGACGACACCGAGAGGAAAATGCTGCTCCTGAGTGTGGACAAGAATCAATTGCACCAGGTGGACTTGGAGTATGGCAAGATTGTGGAGGAGTACGAGCTTCCTGTCTCTGTTCGCTCAGTGACACACGGTGCCCATGTGGCTGGCTCTCAGCCCGTGTACACGTGTCTTGCGGACAACGTTGCATTCAATATGGATCTGCGTATGGATCCGCGGAAGAACGTTATCACGGAGCCCGGTTGCACTCTGCTGGATTACAAGCTTACCGTAAGAAAGCCGTTCACGTGCCATGCAACCTCATCTGCTGGTCACCTTGTCATTGGCGATTCCGCAGGAGCCATCCGCCTGTACACTGGGCCGCCTGGAAGTCGCCGGCCGGACGGCAAGTACAACCCAAAAACAGCAAAAACGCTGCTGGACACGAAGGTGCCAATTGTCGCCGTGGATGTGACAGCGGACGGGAGTTATGTTCTGGCTGTTTGCGCCAAGTATCTTCTACTCATGCGGACGGTGTACACGGATGAGACGAACTCCGAGAAAAATGGTTTTGTATCGCGAATGGGCAAAAAGAAACCGAATCCGCTGAGGCTTCAGCCAACGCCTCAGCAGATTGAGGCTGTTGGGGGAATTGACGAGCTGAACTTTATTTCTGGCGGATTTGACCGCTTCGAGGATGGTCGTGAGACTTGCATCACAGCGTGCGGCGGGAAGTATGTGCTCACGTGGAGCTTTGAGGCGGCGAAACGGGCTGTGGAGGATGGTCACGCGTGCATTGGAGAGACCGCATTAGTTAAGCGCGAGGTCCTTGCTGTTTCTGCGACGGTGCCGGAACGAGTGATGTACATGACGGATCAGGACATCCGCATGGCGCCACTGAGGCGGCAGGAGCGGCAGGAAAAGGGCACAAAGCAGTACAACTACTTGTGAGGCAGCTTCCCTTTTTTTGTGCGTTTGGCGATGCCTTGGAGCACGCCTCCATATTTTCTTTGTTGCAGGTGGATCTTGTGGCACGCGTCTGGGGAAAGGACCAGCAACATCCCCACCTCACGGGCATCTTGCAGTGGTCAGTCCTTGTTTCGTATGTGTTTGTCCTATGGTGGGTGTGTGTCTTGTTGGTTTGAGGCGTTAGTCGGGGGACTACGTTTTTTTCCTGACTCACTCGTGCTCTCTCCTTGTTGTTTTTTTGGGAGGGGACAGAAGCCCGCGAACAGTCCTTGCGTGGATGTGGAGTACGGAATTGGACTGTTTTTTTAATGGCTGCAGGCATGATGGTTATTCCGTTTGCCGCTGCTTGGTGTTTATATGTTTTTTTCTTTTTTTTGTGTTTGCAAATATCTTTTTTTTTTGTTTTTTATTCGATGTGGGTTTGGCCAATAGGATGTGTTTGGCGCCCCGAAGTCTTATTTTCTGCAACGCTGAGAGGAATGTATGACTACTGGGCAAGGCTTAGAGGTGCACAGAGGAGGGATAATCGCCGTATGTATGTTGTATATATAAATATATTATAATTGTATATATAATATATATACGTATTTATATGATTGAAAGGTTTCTTTTTTTTTTTTTTTTTTTGTTGCCGCACCTTAAAAAATATATATATATATATATTGTTTTGTTTTGTGTGTTTTTTTTTGTTTTGCTACGGGTGTTGTTTTATTTTTTGAGTGCTTTTTGCTTTTACATATATATATATATATATATATGTTTCTGTGTGTTTTCTCTATTACAGGAAGTTGCCACGTGGAAGGAAGAGATTTGTCTATCAACGATGTCATCGGTTGCTGGCAATGCTGACGGGCTTCTGTTTGTGGGTCGCGCCCTCAGCACCGCCGAGCGCGCAGCGTTGCAATCATCGATCCCGCTTCTTTCGGCGAGGTACGAGACACCCGTGCGTTTTTGGGGCAAGATTCTTGGCTACAAGGGCGACTACCTCGTGACGCAGGCTGTGCCGGAGGGCGTTTTTGGCAAACGCTTCAGTTTTTTCAGTGTGGACGGGGGAACCTCGTGGCGTCTGTTGGACCCCCTCACCGAGGACGAGGTGGCGTTTTGCGATCAACTACGCGGTGTGTACATGGGCGATCCGACGTTTATGTATAAAGTGCGGCGGGATATTCCACCGGAGCCTGAGCCGACCGCGGCGATGCCTGACGCGGATGAGTTATTGACGGCGGCGCGTGAAAAATATGGCGCAGAAAAGACCGGACAGGAGGGCGAAGAGGAGGAGGAGGAGGAGCAGGAACAGGAGGAGGCTGAGGAGGAAGAGGAGGAGGAAGAGGATGAAGACGAGGAGGAGCATGAAGAGCAGCCAAAGAAGAAGCGACCCAAGTTTATGATTATTGCCGTGCCAGAAACCGTTCGGCTGGCGCATTTTATTCAGTTGCACGATGCGGCGTGTACACTCGTTGTGCGGGGACAATATGTTTTTACGCCAAGTGGTAGCGGAGTTTCAAAGAATACAATGTTTGCTGGTCAACCAGTGCGTCATGCAATGAAGCCATCGTGTTATTTGCGTGCTTTTCATCCTGGCAACGAAGAGCGCAATCGCATTCTGTACGGTCCAACCTACAGCAGCGTGACAGACCGTCTTTCTCCCATCACCGATGACGAGCCGCAGGGGGTATGGGTGGTGAAGTATGATCCCACTGCAAGCATTGTGACGGTGCAGAACTTGTTTTACAATGGATCACTCTTTTGGTATCGTCCTGGCACAAATGACTGCGGTCAGGTGTACTTTGGCAACGGCGAGCGCGACTTGGAGACCTGTTTTCTTCTGTAGAATGTGAGGAGGAGGAGGAGAAATGTGAGGAAAGACACGAGAAGGAAGTGGAGGGTGAAATTTATTTTTATTTGGAGAGGGGAGAGGGGGGCAGTTTTGTTGTCCGCTGAAAAAGACGTCAGTAGGCCGCCGCTCCTCCCTTCTTTTTGTTGTTTTCATTTTCCCGTCGCCTCCCACTTCTTTGCCAGCCTTGCGCAATATAACGCCCGGCAATAGATGTATCATGCAGCAACAGAGAAGAAACGTTCAGGCAAAGTGCGTTTTTTTTTTTTTTTTTTTTGTTCTTCCCTGGGGCCTGGGCATTTGTCTGGGATTCTCTGGGGGAAAATGGGAAATGTGGGGAAGGGACAGTGAAAAAGCGGAAAACAACAACAAAAACAACAAACGGAAAACAAACAAAAAGAAATGGTTGTTTCATTGTCTTGTGTTTGGTGTGCGTCTTTACCTTGCTGAAATGGATGTAGTGAGACGTGTGACATTTCTTTTTTGACCTGTGCGTCTGTGCGTGTCTTTCTCGCTCTCTCTCTCTCTCTCTTGCTCTTCGTGTGTATGTAATGTAAGGATGATTATTAATATATATTATATATTTATTTTTCTTTTCCTCCCGCTGTGTATGTGTGCGTGTGTGTCTCTGTTATTATTATTATTATTATTATTTTCTTTGTTCTTTGTTCTTTTCCTTTTCTTTTCTTGGACATCTTTGCATCCACATTTATTTGCCACAAAAGAAGGGAAGAAGAGGAAGAAGAAGAAAAAAAAAAAGGGAGAAGCAGGGGTGCAGGGCTGTCTCAGACCAGGGATCAAGGTAAGTGGGGAGAGGAGGCGAAATAAGAAGCATAAAAATAGCCTCACTCCCAATCCCCCCAAAAAACCCCCCAAATAATAATAATAATAATAATAATAATAATAATAATAATAATAAAGACAAAAAACAAAACAAAAAAACAAAGGCAAATAATAATCGTAATTAAAAGGGAAAAAGAATTTTTTTTTTTCTAAATTTTTGTGACTTTTTTTCTTTTTGTGTCTCTGTGTGTGAAGAATAATTTAAAGAACTAAAAGTGTGTGTGTGTGTGTGAGTGAGTGCGAGTGTGTTAGTATTTGCTTCTTTGTTTCTTTGAATTGGGCGTCTTTTTTTTTTTTTTTTTGGCTTGCTTTGTGGTTTGATTGTCTTTTGGTTCCTTTTTTTCTTTTTGATTTGCGTCAGCGCCACCCATTCGGCGTGTCGGTGGTCTTTTTTTTTTTTTTTTTAATTATTATTTTTGTGACTCTGCCCGCTTTTGCTTCCCTGCGGCGTGAGTCTGCCTGTCTGTCCGTCTGTTTGTGTTTCCGGGTGAAAGGAGGTGTTTTTGTGGGTGACTCCGTGCGGGTGGCGTTGGGGGCGACAGGAGAGAAAAAGACGCCGGTGGAGAGCGGGGGGAGGGGCGACGCCGCACGCGCACGCCGAACGTCACGGAGCTCTGCAGTGGGCCTTTTGAGGCGAAGAGGAATAAAGGGAGACGTGTCGTTGAACACCGCCCCTACCCACACACAATAGAAGGAGAGAGAGAGAGGGAGAGGGGAAACAACAGCGGCACGGGGGAATAAAAGGGTCGGGGGGGGGAGGGGTTAGGAGGGCGAAGACGACATCCAACCAACACCCGCGCAGAAATACACTACACCCGAGGAAAAAAAAAAAAAAAAAGGAAAGAACAAAAAATAAAAATACAAAAGAAAGGAGAGGGGAAATAACTGTGGCGGCAATAATAATTTAACGCTAACAATAATTAAGTAGTAATCAAACAAAAAATACGGAACGAGAAGAGAGGGTTGGAGAAAAGGAAGAGGGAATAGAGAGAGAGAGGAGAGAGGGGAGGGAAAGTTGGTGAACACCGCACCGTGTTTCTTTTTATTTGCGAAGTTGGGTGCGGAAATGCTGCAAGGGACGAGAAGGGGAGAGGGAGAGGCGATGATTGAGCCCAGGGATGGAAATGAAACCATAAGGACAACCACAAATTCACGAACAACGCGGGTTTTTTACGAAGATCCACTGCTACCATATTCTCTCCAGTGTATTCATCCACGTCTACGGGATGCGGTTGAGGTGAAGGGCCGCGCGGAACTTCTTCGAGGCGCCCAGCTGCTTATAGAACACGGCACCCCAGAAGAGGTGGCACGTCATATCTCATTGAAGGTGCGGGAGAGGGAATCCATGGTGGAACAGTTTTCTTCCCCTGAAGAGGAAGACAATTTGTGTGCAGGAATTCCTCTTCAACCTGCCTTTACGTCCCCCAACTCGGAGCATAACTCCTTTTACGAGGCGGATGAGGAACTTCAGCATCGGTGCCACTACTTTTTATCAACATTTACGGATGAGCATGAATCATACAATGTTCCATATGATGTACAGCGCCGCGTTGTGCCGCTATTATATGCATGGATTGTGGATTGGGATTTTCTTAGACGCAATACGGATTGCTGGGTGTGCGTCACGCAATGCTTTTGCCGCGTGGTACAATCTCGCCGGCGACGGTTTTCGGTACGTCCCGATTTTTCACTTCCGTGGCGGCCACTTGTTGAGATTTTGATTTCTCTATTCTTTCAATCCGATGGAGTGATGGATCTGAATGTATTTCAGGGCATGCGAAAAGCGGCAGGGAGGCATTTGGAAAGATTCTGTGAGCTGGCCGCGTTGCACTTTGGCGCCGATGCCTGGCCGGGACTATGGGAGACATTTGCACCGTACTTCTCCGCGGATCGGGAGGAGGCACCTATCATGTTATGTCTTCTCTCTCACCTTTTTCCCATTCACCATCTTTCGGATGATGCAACTGGGGAGCCCTTGCCCATCACGGAGCGTATTGTAAAGTTTCTTCTCGAGGATTCGCTTTACTGGCAGCAGCTGTCACAAAACTGGCTGGTGTATTCTCTTAAGATTCTCTTTAAAATGTCTCTCCATCATGTTGGTGTGGTGGACTTTGACAGGTACGCGGAACCGCTGTTTTCGATGGTGTTGTATGAATTACATCTCCCCATCGCTGAGGACATGGCGGTGCCGAAAGGACCGGTTGGATTTGGTGTACTTAGCAAAGTTTCTCTCTTTAGGATTGGCGAGAACGAAATGTCTGCAGCAGAGGGTTTTATTGGGAACATGCTCCCGCGTCGCACAGACTCTCCACTGTGGAATCACCTGCAACGCTTCATACACGCGACCAGTGTTTTTCTTCGTCCAAACGCCACCGATAAAGTTGTCCTGCGCCGTGTGTTTGCCTTCTACAGCAGTCTTGTGGCGGTCATTCATCGGAGGATAAAAAAACAGAGGAGCTATCAATTCATGCGGGCAACAAAAAAAACCAAATTTGAAGGAAGAATTATTCGAGAGGCGTACCTGTGGGACCGCGACACCATCGACTGGTTTGTGGAGCTTGTGGCACCTGTTTTGCGTTTGCTGTTGCACCATCGTCTTGAGGATGCCCCACGCATCGTCGGCCTTCTCGCTTCCCTTTCTCCCCAAATCGTACAGCGGCTGTTTTTGCCGTATGTTGATGCTGGGCTGCGAGGTCATTTAGGGTCACCGGCTCAACGTAGCCTAGCCTTACGACTTTTGGCCAAATGTCTTTTTCCACTCAGCGAGTGTCCTGCTACCCGTGAGGAGTGCTGGCTTTTTCTTGCTGAAGTGTTGCCACTGCTGTTACAGTGGGTGAATCCGGGTGAACTGTCACTGTCAACGTTAGTTATGAACCTTATATTTATCACATGCTCCATGACAAAACTACGGGATTTATTAGGAGGGCAAGTTGCAGAATGTTCATTTGCTTTAACACTTGTGGAACGCATATTTGACTGTTCTGCTCATGTGAAATTTGGGAAGGGATGCGCTTTTGACCTGCTCATGCATGTGATGAATGCTCTGTCTCTTAATTTGAGCGACGAGACTTTTTCTTGTTGCATGTCCAGGGTATTAAAGGAGTCGGAGGTTCAAGGCGGCATCTCCAAGGCTCATGCTGTGAGTTGTTTGCTGGAACCTTTTGCTCGGCGCGCCCCAGAACGTATGATGCGGTGGGCCATTCAGACTTTTGCGCCACCCCTGGAGAATGTGTCTACACCATTGAATGAATTACAGTGGTGTGCACATCTTCTTGCCGGGTGTATACGTGGCGCAGGGCTTGCAGGATTTCCATACCGACACGAACTGTTGCGTTGTATTCATTGTCAGGTGTCATTTATCACCAGAGAAGAACAAATTTTGGCGGCAGCTGCCCTTTATAATGCATTGTTTACCGCCTTTACGGAATTTATTTGCACGGAAGCGAAGGCAGAACCTTTTTCTATTTCGAAAATTGATGATATGGCATTTTGTGATGCCGATGAACTGGTTTACGACAAGAAACAGGATGAGTTTGAGGTGAGTATGTGCTTCTGTCGAAGCAGCGCTGTGCAGCTGACGTGGAGGGAGGCTTCGGAATTTCATATTGCCTACGTTGTTGATGTATACAAGCGTTTTGTTGAGGATTCTGTGGATATTATTCGTAACATTGAGCAGGTGCTGCCTCCCGCTGAAGGTGAAAGGAGTGAGGGGCTAAGAAGTCTTCTTCACATCCCGTTTGACAAATCAGCAAACACGAAGAGTGATGATGGTGTGGGTAAGTTGGGAGATGCCGCATCCGCCACGGCGTCCGTTGAGGCGGACGTTGATGCCTTTACACCTAAAAATGTTCTGCGAGGGGTTTTGCTTTGGCTTCGTCTTGTGATTGAGATTAACCAAGAATTTCACGCCGATGTTTCTTGTGCGGCACAAACTTTCAACATGGTACCGTGGTGGGCGCAAGATCCCAAGTCTACGCTGCAGCTTTTGCCTCAATCGTTGGGGTCACCCTTACTGTCCGCCGTGCCGGAGAAAATACACAACGTATTGATTGAATACGCCTTCCGACGCGTGTCTGGGATGACGGCGACGGAGAGTATCACTGCGAAGGCATTTTATCCGGACCGCAGCCTTGTGATGCAGGGAAGGCCCCGTTTGCATTCCACACAGGCGGATGAAATGGACCCCCGTGGGCTTCATTTGGTGTTGACTATTTTGGCCGAACTGTGTAACATCACCCCCATGACGCCTCTGCAGTATGATCACTGCTACATCTACAGTCAAGGTCCCGATGTATTTGCACATAATGTGGTGGAAACACCAAAGGGGCGACTCTACCTACCCGCCATGTACTGGCGTATGAAGGCAGAGTCGTTTACCCAGAAACGCCGGTCGCTTCTTACACGCGTGGTTTCGCCGAAAAGGCTAAGTGAGCTGCTTCGGATTGCCCACACTCTCCTTTTTTCACCATACCAATTAATTCAGGACAACTGCTCCCACATTTTGACAGGATGCGTGCCGATGATGAGCCGGAAGGCGACAAGTCAGTTCCTCTCTGAACACCTTTCGGTGCTTGAGGAAATTTCAAACCTGTGGAGCCAAGAAAACGATGTTACTGAGCAGCATTCGCATGATCATGATCCAGGGAATACGACTTCACCTTCTTTTAGAGGCGACGACGATTGTGAGACAGACTACCCCGCTGACGGCCCTGATGGGGTGAAGGCGACCACCTTGAAAGGGTCAGGAAGAAGGAGGAAAAATGACGACTGTAAGAAAAAAATTGCCGTTGATGACGAGAGTGGATACGGCGACGGAGACGCTCCTGCTCCTGCTCCTGCTGCTGACGCTGCTGTTGTTGTTTGTTCTTGTTGCGGTGATGATGGCGATGGCGATGACGACAACGACGAAGATATGAAGGGGGCGATGCCACATTTCTCGTCGCAGCTGCGACGGATAATATCAAGCGCTCTCTCTCTTATGTCAGCAGGTTTCAATAGCTCCTACTTTTACTACGACGATGGCTTGATTTATCGCACCTGCGAGTTGTTGGTACAGTTTCCTGATCAGCTCGTCGTGAGGCGGATTATTTCCCGAGTTTTAACACAGAGTTCGTACGACCTCGGTTGTCTTTCAGCTATTGAGGGGGCGCGTGCGGTGCGGTTGTGTGATAAACTTCTTTTACTCGCAATGAAGTTTGCCCATACCGCACCAGACCGGACACTTGGCTGCCTTTTGAAGATTGTTGCCCTTTACCGCCCATCGCAAATTGCCCTGCTTTCACCGCAAAGCGTACCACTACTCTTTCGTCTTGCGGTGAACTGCCATGCAAAGGTGCGTGAAACTTCATTTCACATTCTTCAAACACTTGTGCTCTCATTGAGGGAGCCGCATCCAAAGGCGTATGTTTTGACTAGACGCGGTCCATTGGAGGCCAGTGAAAATGCTGCCTTTTTTAGTTCCCGCTATGAACTGCTGAAGCGTGAATGCCCCTCCTTTTATGGTCTGCGTGATGTGGGGTTGGCCTTTTTACCGAAAGCCATACGCGTTGACGCGGAGCATGTCTCTCCAGACATGTTTCACGACGGTGAAGTGGCTACTGTCCCTGCTGAAACAGTCAAACTCTGTAAGAACTACACTGAGGAAAAAAGGGATTATTTTATAGATGCGGCTCAAGGAGAGGCTAAACAGCAAGAAAAACGTCTTGCACAAGAGGAACTGAAACGGATAATTGGCTGTCTTTCTGGAATTCTTGATGATGAGCTTAATCCTTCTACCGCTGGAGAGGCCAATATGGATGATACTGCTCAGGCGAAATTGCGGGATGGATGGATATGGAAGGTGATGCAGCTGCGCCATGATCAGAAGACTTTTTCAGAATCCCGTATGCGGGTATGGAAATCGATGGGAAAACTTGTGGGTGTGGAACCATCCGTGCGCTTCTTTACGCGTTTAGTGCGTTTGTGGGTAAATGACTTTGTGGAACTCGCGCGTAGTGGCAGTGCAACTGCGAAAGAGAGCCAGCAGAGTTTATTTTCATGTCTTTTTGATGTGCTGGTAGCGGCTATTCGCATCTCTAAACGACACCCTGTAGCGCGCGAGGAGGCTCTGAGGTGTTATATGGATGCACTACGATTGGTGTGTACCAGTGCTTTGGTACCGCATGAGGTCCTTGATTCTTTCTTGCGGAGCATTTCGGCGTTACATGATACACTGAAGGGTAATGAGGTTTGGTTGATTTATGAGTTTCTTTTTGCGGAGCTGAAACCTTTTTTGAGGGCCCCACTGGCGACGGATGCATCTACGGTGAAAAATGAGACGGAGTCTGGCATGACATGTTGTACTTCATGGTGCTCTGGAAGAACGCAGGAAATAGTACGGGTATTGAATGTCATGGTGCACTTGATATGCGTCTTTGCACAGGAGGTCAATGTGGAACTTTTGCCCCAGTTGTGTAAACAGGTGCTACAAAATAAAGAGTTATTTCTTTGTAGTACTTCATCTTCTATTCAGGGTTGTTCAGCATTTATGATTTCGGAGATTATGCGCCTTTCTCTGTACCAAAGTGAGTACATCGCTTCCAATAGCGCTGTGTTAAATGAGATCTTGAGTT